GGCTGCATTGATGGAGGGAGATTCCGTTCCAAACTTTGTCTTTCGCTGGACACTTCCACAAGCTTTATGGCCCCACTTCCCTGGCACTTCTCATGATTACGAAGGATGGAAGGGATCAGTACTCTTTTCACCCTGGTCCTCACCCTTATCGTCATCACCAATGTCTTCTTCTTCCTCATCCTCCTCCTACTACTACGGGCCCTCGCTTCCCCACTTGTCGCCCACCTCATTGCGCACCTCATCTTACCCACGCCTGCTCCCCTCTTCTCCCCCGTCCCCCGTCCCCCTCCTCCCCCTCCTCCTCCTCCTCCTCCTCCTCCTCATCATCCTCCTCCTCCTCACCTTCCTCCTCCTCCTCATCCTCCTCCTCCCCCTCATCCTCCTCCTCCTCACCTTCCTCCTCCTCGTCCTCCCCCTCCTCTCCAGGTACTGCGTCTGCGCGCGAACCAGATTGTGCACCTCGTCCATCAGGACGATCTTGTTCGAGTAGACGTTCTTCCCGTCGTGGTCAAAGGCGACCTTGAGCAGGGCGCTGATCGGCCAGCCCTCCCTCAGCTGCGTGTGCCGCCCTCCAGCAGAGGAGTACCGCCTCAGCCCGCCTCGCCTCCTGCTCATCCTCCTCCTCCTCTCCCTCCTCCTCCTCCTCCTCATCGCGATACTCCTCATATCCCCCTCCTCCACGTCCTCCTCCACGTGCTCCGCCTCCTCGTCCTCCTCTTCCTCCCCGATCCTCCTCCTCCTCCTCCTCCTCCTCCTTCTCCTCCTCCTCTTTATCCTCCTCCTTCTTGCGTCACTCACCCCAGCTCGATTCTCCCTTTATCCTTCTCCTCCCCGTTTCAATCCTTCCCCTCGTCTCCCCCCCTCCCTCCATCCCTTCTCCTGCTCTCCTCCTTCTCACCACCCTCAATACCATCATCACATCTCACTTTCGATCATCCCCCGCCCCCTCCCCTCTGCTCATCTTGCGTGCCCGTCCCTTCACCCTCACCTGGCGCACACTCCAAGTCCCCAAATCCGAACATGACACGGGAGGACACCACACGCGAAAACTACCCCCTCTGCTCCCAGCCCCTTGCCGGACACGTCTGGCCAGGCCCCTTTAAATCTGAGGGAAAGCGGCCGTCCATGAGTTTAGACAGCACCCCCCTTCACCGTCTCCTCCCCCTGACTCCCGATGGCTCCTGATGGCATGTGGGTTCGTCGAACGCTGCCCTGCCCCTCCCAGGGCCAGTCGGCCCTGGGGGGGGATCAACTTCAAGCCAGGCGACTTCTGGAGCACCGTTCCAGGAGCCGCCAGCTGGTAGAGGTAAGCCACAAGGAGCAACCGACAGACTGACAAGGGGAGGAGGAGGAGGAGGAGGAGGAGGAGGAGGAGGAGGAAGGAAAGACGGAGGAAACCTCTCATAGAAGAGGGAGCGGGGGGGAGGGCGGTGACGCCGGTGAGGCGCGGGTTGTGCCAGCGCGGGCCCAGGCCACATGAGAGGCACAAGGGCTTCTTCCCTCCCCATACCGGCGGTGGAAAAACCTCCCCTTAGTGAAAACGGCCTTGGACCGAAACCAGCGGACCTGGACCCACAAAAATGACCGCCGCGACGCCTTCTCGCGAACCGAAAACGGCCAATTTCTTAATCGACGCGTCAGGGTAGGAGGTCTGTCCACACCCGACCATAGGACCCCCCCTCTCGCCAGCCCACGGCCACGCGGCGGGGGCCCTCCTCCTCCTCCTCCTCCTCCTCCTCCCCCTCCTCGCCCTCGTCCTCCTCCTCCTCCTCCTCCTCCTCCTCCTCCTCCTCCTCCTCCTCCTCCTCCTCCTCCTCCTCCTCCTCCTCCTCCTCCTCCCCCCCCCACCTGCTCCTCCTCCTCCTCCTCCTCCTCCTCCTCCTCCTCCTCCTCCTGCTCCTCCTCCTCCTCCCTCCTCCACAATGAAACAATCTGGATACTGCTCTCCTCTTCTCCCCAGGTGGCGTCCAGGAAATGGCCGGCCCCCCTCCGCGCACTGGTTTACACACAGGATTTCCCAGAAACAGGTCAGGTTGGGCTTTTGATTCAAAATGCTGCTCTCGCTGAAGTGCCTTCATTTTCGTGCTACCGCCCGTTCCGAATCGTGCTCCCGCGGCAGCGCTGTCTTCATTTCCGCGCTTCCGCTCGTTCCGAATCGCGCTCCCGCTGCAGCGCTGGCATCATTAGTTCCAGCGCCGTCACACGGCATGGTTTTCGGTTCTTCTAAATCTATCTAAAGAGGCCGAAAAGTCTAGAACATGCCCCACACACAACAAAACCATAGGACGTGATTACCCAGTCGGTTTCGATTCGTTCATTTCTTGGGGCAGCAGAAGCCCCCCCCGACTTTGGGGGCGTCGCCACGCCATGATATGCCAGGCTACGCGTCCTCATTGCCGCGCTTCCGCGCTTGGGTGTTTGTTCAAATCTCGCTGAAGCGGTGGCCTCAATTTTGGGCTACTGCTCGATCCGAATCCTGCTCCCGTTGCAAAGCTGGCCTCATTTCCGCGCTTCCGCTCGTTCCGAATCGTGCTCCCGCTGCAGCACTGGCGCCATTATTTCCAGCGCCATGCCACGGCATGGTTATCGGTCCTTCCAAATCAATTTAAAGAGGCCCAAAAAGCTAGAGAATGCCCCCCGAAAAAACCATCGGACGTGACTACACATTCGGTATCGATTCGTTCATTTGGGGGGCAACAGAAGCCCCCCCACTTTGGTGCGTCGCCACGCCATGATATGTCAGGCTACGCGACCTCAATTCCGCGATTCCGCGCTTGGGTGCTTGCTCAAATCTCGCTGAAGCGATGGCCTCAATGTTGGGCTACCACACGTTCCGAATCGTGCTCCCGTTGCAGCGCTGGCCTCATTTCCGCGCTTCCGCTCGTTCCGAATCGTGCTCCCGCTGCTGCGCTGGCGTCATGTTTTCCAGTGCCATGCCGCGGCATGGTTGTCGGTCCTTCTAAGTCGGTCCAAACATGCCTCCCGAACAAAACCATTGGACGCGATTACACATTCGGTGTCGAGTCGTTGATTTATTGGGCCGCAGAACCCCCCCACTTTGGGGGCGTCGCCACGCCACGCTATGTCATGCTACGCGCTACTGTTCAACACCATGTTATGCAATGTAATGCTATGCCATGCTACGACATCCGATTGCGCGAATAGAGAAGAGATCTACGCCATGGTAAGGGATGGGAGGGAGGGATAGGACGTCAGATATGACGCGAGCGCACCTAGCTTGTCCTCCTCCTCCCCCTCCTCCTCCTCCTCCTCCTCCTCATCCTCGTTCTCCGCCTCCTCCTCCCCCTCCTCCTCCTCCTCCACTTCCTCCTCCTCCTCCTCCTCCTTCCTCCTCCTCCTCCTCCTCCTCCTCCACCTCCTCCTCCTCCTCGTCCTCCCCCTCCTCCTCCTCCTCCTCCCCCTCCTCCTCCTCCTCCTCCTCCTCCTCCTCCTCCTCCTCCTCCTCCTCTTCTCCACCCTCCCCCCTTTCGGCGGCGTCCGTGGTGAATCGGGCTGGCGTGTGGCTTGTGGCAGCCCCTGCGCTTCATTCGAGCCGCCCACTGCGGCCAGATGCCGCGCGAGTGGTGCGACGGGCTCTGGGCTGGCGGCCGAGCGCGGCCTGGGTCTGCCAAGGTCCCTGGGGTTTGGCGGCTCACCCCAAACCTCCGTCCCGTTCCGGCACTTGTCGTGCTCGCTTCGGGGTTGGCAACAAGCCTACGCTGCTGTCTGGCGCGCAGCGCGCGGCGGCAAGCCGACGCCTCGCTGGCCCCTGCCGGGGCGGCCGTCGGCGAGAGCTCCCTCACGTTTTTCGGCAGGGGGGGCGCAGGAGCCCGGGGCTGAGACGAGGCCAGGGCGAGGACAGAATTGAAGGGGCCCCAGGACACACAAATAAATACACACAAATAAAAAGATGTCCCATATTTTCCCATATGTTTGGGTTCTTTGTCTTGCCCCCCACTTCCCATATTTTTGCATATTTTCCTGCGAGTCGACGATTAATTGTGTCTGTGTGTTTTTTCCCTCCTGAAGAATCGGGTGAGAATAAAATCGAGAATCTCTGGGATCTGCCAGATCTGGAGGATGTCTCGGGCGCCGCGGCCTTCTCAGAGCGTTCCGGCACGTTCCAAGCTCGAAGCGGACAATCGAATCGACGATCGAAACATGTGGAGTCGACAGACATCGGCAGGCAGATCGGAAAGCATCGCAATCGCCGTCCGGCGGCCCTAGCCGATGCCTGCATAACTTAACCCGAACCGAAATTGGAATTCGGAGCCGAATCGGAGCGAACTCAAAACCCTCGAAATCGAATCGACTCGAATCGAGAGAATTTAAATGGCTCCTGGTGGTCTGCAGAGGGTGCTGCAGGAGCCTGCAGCGTCATTGGCAAGGCCTCACAATTTTCCTGTGGAAGTCTGCGGACCCTCGCGTTTCGAGCGGTCATCTGCGGAACCTGCGGGCGGAAGGCATCCCAAGACGAGGGGGCAGCCCTTTGACTGGCAAACGCTATGGGCTCGTCACCTGGCCCTGCACGGACAGAATCTTCGAATTGCATTGAAAGGGGCCAGCCGCACGACACCACCACGCCAGGTGGCAACATAGCCGCAACACTGCACTTGGAACATCGTCCTCCTCAGTATCCTCGTCCTCCTCATCCTTCTCACCCTCCTCCTCCTCCTCCTCCTCCTCATCATCATCATCATCACCATCACAAACATCATAACCATACTAATCCACATCGTTATCAATATCATCACCACCCATCATCAGCAGCGTCACCATCAGCGTCATCATCAGCAGCATGTCCATCATCATCATCATCATCGTCACACTTATCCCCATCATCATCGCCATCATCAGCACCATCATCCTCATAATCATCATAGTCATCAGCAGCACAAGCACCCTGGTCATCATCCTCATCAGCATCGTCATCATGATCACCGTCGATATCATCACCATCATCGTCATCATCGTCGTCATCGTCATCCCTATCATCATCG